CATACTCGTATAATAAATAATATAAAAGTATATACAATAACTGAAACTTTAATCTCAAGATAATGCTTATAATTAGAATTTAGTAATATTATAAATAGTTTATGATATCTTTAAACCTAAATAATTATGACCTAGACAGCTAGGAAAAAGCGTTAATTGGTTTACTCAATACGGGCTATTGAGAGGGCTTAGATTCCTTTTGTATATACCTATAAGTATTTTTATAACATTCATCTGCTATCACTCACTCTTATTTATCTTGATTAATTTGTATAATTTGCATATCACAATACATTAAATTTCAGCATTATACAATTTTAAATACCTTGAATATGAAAAATACAAATAACATTAGCTAAAAAAAAAATTGATAGAGATTATGTATTGTCAACTCAAAAACTTAATAAGTTAAAACTCCACATAGGTACACGGCAACCAGTACAATATCGTTGTTTAGTAAAAAATTTAAGTTTGTAATTATTAATTAAAGATATTCAATACTATCTTTATTATTATACTATATATTTGTAAATACCCAGGGCCGTATTTAGGAATTTGACACTAGGGAGCAACAATAAAAAACGCCTCATTATACCAAATACAAATTTCTACGGGTTGAAAAAGATCTTTCTAAAGAACAATTCGTTGCTCGAGTACACAAAAATATTATAAGTGCAATGTCAACATAAGGATAGATTTTTTGTAAATTTTTGATTTATTGACAATACTCAACCGTTACCGAGTATATGTATGTGCAGTGCCGTATTAGACATTTTGCGCTCCGGCGCAAAAAAAAAAAATTGGCACTTCCCTAAGGGGCCTACCCACGGAAATTATACGAGGATATAGATCCTCATAAACTAGGCCGTATCTGGAGGGGAGGTCCACCTATCATTTCACCAGACACCCTGTCTGGACCCCCACCCCTGAAATTTCTTCAATATTTTACGAATGTTTAAAATAATTATTCATTTTTAATACCAACATAAATATTTTCAGTCAAAAATGACTTAAGCTCCAATTAATCTTTGACTGCTTTTAATTTTATATCATAATATCATATGAAAATATGATATTAATTTTAATAAAAGAAGATTAAATCTTTTTCTATCTTATTTTTAACCAAATATCAAAAGTTAAAATCTAAATTCAATAAAATTATAATATACATGTTTTGGACCTCTCCCGAAAAAAATGTCTAGATACGGCCTTGCTCATGAACTTTTTAGATATAAAATCAATGCTACTTTTGTGAGGTAGGCACGCGATAACATAATACGCCGTGTTATTATAAATAACTTATGTTTATTGATATTATCACATCAAATTTGGGAACTAATATTAAGCATAATAATAATATTTTAGATCGCTGATAGCTATATTGCTATAAATACATTAACATTAATTTATGATACTGAAAAAAATAATAATTTTAAAATTTCAATAATTCACAAGTGAGCAAATTTCCGACTACAAAATGTTAGCGCCCAGGGCACTTTTAGCCAGTGCCCCCCCTCCCTCTGGATTCGGCCCTGTGTGTGTGTATCATGACACCGTGATTAGCAATATATATTTTTTTTTTGAGATACACTTTTTATTTTGTAAATAAGTTTCACTTCAAAAATATTAGATCATTAAATATTGAAAATATAAAAAAATTAGCTTTCCGGAGCAATAGCACCCTGTAGCTCCCCTTTAAAACGGCCCTGTATATATAAATGGAATATAATATACTATAATACCACTGTAAAATATTATGTTCACGATTATTCACAGAATATTTTATTGTTAGTAGTTGTACTATGGTAGTAGTAGGTCTAATTACTCTTACCTAAAGAACCAAAATGTAGAGCAATACCTGAAAACCACCAACACCTATAATAAATTAACATACTTATATAACCGTATAGGAAATAGGCTACTCAGTTCTGAAATTATACATCTATATTTAACCTATATGTCATAAAGTGAACGATGATGCTCAGTTAAAAAAATTAATTAATATATTTGATTTGTAAAACATCAAATTGAGTTTCCTTACATGGGCGCTCGCAGCAGTAATTAAAAATGTAATTTTTTTCATATTTTGTAATAATATAAATATAATGTAAAGTGCTAATAGAACTTGTAGATTATCATGAAAATCCTAAATTTTGAAGTACTTAAAGTTGGGTTCAGAAAAAATCTTGCAATTTATAATTTTTTAGTTACCTTCTCCCTCTAGATGTTTGATTTTGATTTAATTTTTCATACAGTGAACTACCTCAATTATTTTAACGTGATAAAGAAGTATTAAATGTGTAAGTAAACTATAATAATATTGTAAATCACTGAAATATTTTCGCCATGATTACTTACTTCCTTGGGATAGAGGAGGAGATTCACTAATATATTGTTATTGGCATTTATTGACACTGATAGATAGGAAAAATTATCATACAGATTTAAAACTTATAATAAAACTATTAAAACTATTATATAATAGTATTCTATATAGTATTAAACTATTTAATACACATCTACATAATAACTAATTACATCTAAGAGCAATAGTGCAGTACACAACTTTATATAGCTTATATCATATATTATAGATAACTAATAGAAATAAAAGAAAATTTAACATCTCGTTTATCATTTCCATTCTTAATTCAGGTGCAGCATTAAACACTAATTATTAATCAATAATATTTTTATAATTAGATATGAATTGAGAAATGAGTAAAGCATTGAATGATTATGATTGCGATTTTGAACAACTAACCGATCAATTATCACGCATTGCCATTTATCCACTGCATTAGTTACATGGTATTTATTAGTAAAGTATTTACTTTAAAGTATTAGTTTAATTACGTTATTATTAAAATTTAAATTATTCATTAGGGTCATTATGATTTACCAGAATAGAAAATGTTTTGTAAAAGAGAAATAAGATATGGTGATTCGAACAAAAATTATACTTGAAGATTTTATGTTCTGTAAATCGAAAAAAATTTTTATGATGGCTGATAATACTGATTACAATATAACCGCATGCCGCTCTCATAATAAGATAATAGAATAATAAATAAAGAATATTATAAGAAAATCGAAGGATCAAGGAAGATCAAAAATAAATGTCTATGTTTTTAAAATTTTTTTTGCCAGGCGCTGGACACTGTCATAGAGTAGATCATGGCCTAGATTTTTTACTCTAAATATATGCTATTGGCATCTATTTAATTAATGAATTAATAAGTTATAAATAACATTCGGGTGTGGGCAGAGTATTCTACAAAACACCAAACCATAGCCGCATAAGCAGTGCCGCGTCTTAATATGAATAAGAGTAAACATTAATGTTATAAACCCTAAGTAATACGTATTAATTACATAATGTATGCACATATATTACGTAATCATATCATAATTAATAAACTCGTTTTTTTTTGTCTTAAAACTCAATTTTATTACTATAACAAAATTATTTTTGAAATGACATAAAGCACGTTTTTCAACGGAAATATATCACAAATAATATTCATTTTGAATACAATTATCATAGAAATTAATATTGCATAGATAAATATTAAATCCGAAAAGTATAATATTGTTTTAGTAGATAAACAGTTCAAAAGTCGCTGTTATTTGTATTATATATCGCTGTAACACGTGGAATTGAGTATTTATCGTTTGCACGCGTTTAGTACTACAGTTAATGTACAATGTATAAATAATGAAAGCTGGCATCTCCAGCTTGAGTTATAAAAAAAACTTAATACGTCATTCGCACATTCGCGCTGCGATGCGTGTTGTCTAGTTCTAAACGTTTTTTTTTTACCAATTTTTTTCTTTTTTTAGTTATCTATACGTGATATAAATTATTTATATTATTATTTGTAGATACGCAAGACACTTGAAAATTAGTAATTATATTAAATTTATACGACTCTCCGAACTAATTCGTATAGTTCGTTGTACTAATAAATTGAATTTTGTTGTTATAATTACAATCAAGGACAACGATTGTGACAAAGATTCGATCAGTATAATGTATCGAATAGGAGAGACTCGAGAGCGCTTAAATCAATTCACAAACGTTTATATTATTTTTAGCAGCCGGTTCAATAAACTTTAGAAATTATAGCGACGCATCGATAAACCGATTGAAAAGCCTAATTCACACGAGTGTAACAAAGTCCAGAGCGGTTTTGCAAAACACGGTTGTTGTATATTTCCATTTTTCTAAACCGTAAACATCGAATAAAACAAATGCGCTGAACATTAACCAACGAGCGATAAAATAACTGTTCTGAGAACGAGTCCACGGCCGATAACGGTTTTAATTATTGATAAGCGCCGTTAAGCACGGAGAGGAAAATTTGCTTTCAAACCGTAAATCATGATAACGTCGTATGTTAATCATATTAAATCTGAAGCGATTAATAAGAACTTGTTCGGTTAATTCTCCTCCCCCTCCCTCGATCGACAGTGATGAAATATCGGTTTTTTTTTTTTTTTTTATTCAACTACTAGACAAATTATGAAAATACCATATTGTAATAATCACCGTACGTTATTCAAGGGCTCGTTCGATTGTTATTCGATATGCGGCGTACCGAGAGGAAAACGTATCAGAACATTACTCTTTATCTATGATCGGAACACGCCGCCGGATTATCACGCGGACGGTGCTGGTGTTTCGCAGACCGATCATAAACGCAGTGTGTCCACTCTCCCACCGTCATGTCGACTTGGGCACGACACTGGCTCGTTGCCGGTCAAAGGGATCGCGACATTTCCAATCGAAAAATTTCGGGCAGAACACATTGGAAAACATTGGCGGACACCTTTAGATCGATGGAGCAGGCCTGGGGAACGACCGCAACAGCGGCAATCGTGATCGTTGGGTTGGCGGCATGGTTCTCTTCTCTCTTCCGTCCGCCGTAGAAACCACTTGGGTACCGCCGCAATCCACTACCACAGGGCACACTGATCATACTTACTAAAATCGGTCGACGTTTGCCAGTCATTATCGCCACCACTACTGTCATCATTAACATCGTCGTCGACTCCGTTTCTTCCGATAGTTGTCTGACGAGTCCGCGTTTCCCGTTAGGACGTTAACAACAATAATAGATAAACTGTACCGCAACATCCAACAACATAGCCACCACCACCGCCGCCACCGTGCTCTACGTATGTGTGCTTTCACTTTTGACCCCGTGGAGTCGTTTTGCTCATTTCCTCCTCTATATAATCGTTTAAAAATAATTTATTTCGCATTTCTCAGAACATCGCGTGTCAGTCAACATCCAAGTCGAGTTTTCCACAGCGCCGCGCATGACACGCAACACGATGAACTGAACTCCGCCGACACCACTTAGCCCGCACACGGCGTGTGCTCCAGAACGACAAAATGATCATGTCTCCGATTGTGAGGTGAGATATTTCGATATGCCTAATCGGCGAGGTGAGTCGATAACGTGGTGCGTATGCTGCACAGATGACGGGAACGATCCCTCGTAAACGCTGCTGTCGCCGCGGCTTATCTGGACGGGTCGCGTGACGACGGCTGCTTCCCATGGTACACCCTATTGGTTATTACTAGGATTTGGGACTTGTTACATTTGCATATTGTTAAATAATGTTTGCAGAATAGTCTAAGTAAAATATAATTTTGTTTTAAGTCATAACGGACTGAAATACAAAAATTTTAATTGCATATTTCATCGTTTTCTGAAAAAAACGCATATTTTACAAATTTTGGCAATTCAATTGTGATTTATAGAATATTTACGCAATTTGAGTAATAATAAGTAAATTCATTTTAAAGATTAACATTATTTTTATTTACTTTTATACATTGGTCAATGTACCTGATCATAGAATGAGTTGGGACAGGCAACAAGGGAAACTAACATTATTGTTCCTGCGTAAATCGTTTAGAGAATGTAAAAGGAAAATAAATATTCAGTTAATATTTAAATTGTAGGAGAAGATGAAAAAAATTAAACAGAACATTCACATTAATATAATGTATATAGTATTATTGTTGTCAAAAAATACTTATTAAAAAAAAATGAATAAATCAAATTTTTTAATTGTCATTAAAAAAAATATTTAGCTGCATATTTGGGTTATTTTAAGTGCGTATGTATATGCATATTTCTTAAAATGTGTGTACAATAAGTTCCAAACCCTAGTTAATTACTACTAAAATAATAATTGAAATATTGTCATTGACCTCTTTGTCAATATGCAGCAATGCTTGTGATGCCCTTGTCAAGTTATTTGTCATTCAAATGATATAAGTAGATTAAACACTGTTTCCAGATGACTTGTGTAGGTGATGAAAAGATGCTCCATACTGTTTAACTAAAAATTAATATTTCTTGTACCTGTCCGATTACACTGCCTGTTATTTGTATTAATGTTATTTGTTATTACTTGGCCCATTTGATTTTAAGAATGTTCCCAACACTTATGCTCCTAAACCAGTTTTGTCTGATGACTTTCACAGTTCATCATTTCAGCAAGTCTTTAATCTGACATCAATAATATCGTTTTTTTACATATTTTAAATGTCTAAGCTAACAACAAGCTCCTTATCCATTTTTGAAATTTTTATAATAATATGTAGATAAACACAACATCATTACTGCAGCTCTGAAAAATAACCGTGTTTCAATGTTATATTTATTTTTTGCAAAAATTTAGTTTTCGGATACCTAAATATTGATTTTTATTTTAAAATATCATACTCTGACTTTAATCGAGAGTTATGTATAATAAAGTGATACTGTATTTTCTGACAAACAACAATAAAAACTTTGTATTATTATTTTATGTTTACCTCTTGACTTTTGGTTTTTATCTTTGGAGATAAAATAGAATTTATGAACTTAATATGTAACGTCTAAAGGTTAGTTTTCTAATATATAATATCGGATAAAATATAAACATATATAATATGTCATTCAATTTTACTCAGATTATAGAGTTCTATTTTCTTCTTTAAAATTATTAAGTTCATTATACCTAGACTGTATATCATCATAACATAATGTATGTGAAATATTTCAATTGTATTAAATGCATTTTTTAGTATTATCAAATTATTTCATTAAATTAGCATTAAATGAATATTCATGATTACTAATTAAAAATATGTATTTGCAACATTAAAAATATTATTCAAAAAAGTAAAATAAAAAATATTTCAAATTTTTAATAATTTCATTTAATTTATTATTGATGTTGGTTTATAAAAAAAATGTTATCATGTTACATAATAAATATCATTTGAGGTATTAAAATTATTTAAATACGTGAGGTATAAAATTAAGTATATTCCTGAGTATATTCAGGGGCGGAATTAGAGAGTGGAAGATGGGGATTCATCCGGGGCATAAAATTTTAAAGAGTGTAATTTTTGTAATTATTAACAAATAATTTTATATTTTTAATTTTATTAAATATACTGATATTAGGTTAAAACTCAATATGCATGATTATTAAAAAAAAAAATTCTCGACAAGAGTATTTGATTATGTGGTCTATGATAGGGTGTAATTTTAACATTTTCCCTGGGCATAAAAATTTCTAGTTCCCTCTCTGAGTATATCTGATACTATTTATACAAAGTTCTTAAGTTTGTATGTAAAAGCTAAAATATATATATATATATATAACCATTTAATTTTATGTTTATATCATTAAAATATTAATTGACTTAGAACATTTGTTAATGTAATTAAATAACTCTGTATTAATGCTGAATTTTATAAACTTCATGGCTAATAAAATTGTTAAAATATTGAGATTTAAAGTTCCATGTGCAATAAACAGAAATTTAAAAAAAAAAAAATTCTTAACTAAAATAAATTTAAAGATCAAATACTTTAATAGTTATCCTTGTAATTAAGACCATATCTGAGGAGGGGGAGTTCCAGGGTATCTGGACCTTCCCTCGCCCAAAATGTCTTCAATATTTTACGAATGTTTAAAATAATTATTTATTTTTAATACCAACATAAATATTTTCAGTCAAAAATGACTTAAGCTCCAATTAATCATTGACTGCTTTTAATTTTATATCATAATATCATATGAAAATATGATATTAATTTTAATGAAAAAGGATTAAATCTTTTTTGTCTTATTTTTAACCAAATATCAAAAGTTAAAATCTAAATTCAATAAAATTATAATATACATGTTTTGGACCCCTCCTGAAAAAAATGTCTAGATATGGCCTTGCTAAAATTTTAGTAAAAATATCTTGCGGTATTTGTTTAAAAGAATCCTCTTAATTTATTAAGACTTAGTTTATTTAAAGCCAAAGACGCATAAGAAAACATAAATTGATTGAGTTATGTGTTTATACTAGTTTTTTCATGAATTTTTATGAATCTTTTCTTATCTTATCCATCCATTAACAAGCTAATCATTTTTGAACCTTAAATTTAAAATAAAACTATAATTTTATCTAATGTAAAATTAATATTAAAGTAAAAATCTTTGAAATACTTCCTATGGATTATTAAAGTACAAATAATCATTAATTGGTGAAAAGTTTGCTACTGTAGTAAAAGATATTATAATTTGTGTTTTTTTTTTTTTTTCAGTGCCAATATGGCCACTTTATACAAAGATGGTATCACCATCAAAAAAATATCAGCAATACAAGTTATCAACAACATACAATTTATATTATTCAATAATATACCGCGTACATTACAAGAAATTAGGGATGTCTCAGGTACTGCAACCAAGTTGCTCGTTGCTTTTAAGCAACGAGCTAACAAGTGCTTTATCACCAAAAGCAATATGTGATTTAAACGACACAGAATGGGATAAATTAACAAGGAGTGATATGGCTGGAAAATTATTAGAACACTTAGACAAGATGTATAGTAAAAATGATGGTAGGTATTTATGTCTATTATTAAACTATAATAGCAGCTAAATTATATTGGAATGACAACATATGACTATGTCTTGTAACTATATTTGAGATGCATCTACTTTAAAACAAAATCAATCACTGCTGTTTTATGTAAGTAAAAATTCAAAGTGAAAATACTGAAATTGTTCTTTAATATTATAAAATTTCATTATCTTCTTAATAAAAAGCTAAAATTTTAAAAAATTCTGAACATTAGTTTTTCAAATACAAATGACTTAAGTTTTCCTGTTTTAAGGTTTCTAAAATAAAAATCCATGAACTACCTATTAATTGTTATTGTTAGTTCTGAAGCACGTAATTATCAATAACATATAGATTAATTATTACTAATCCTTTAAAAGCTATACAATGTGTCTGAAAAATTATAGATAACGGATATGATTTTATGGTTTCTGATCAAAAATATTCATTGGGCTACACTCTACAGCAGCTTTGAAGTATCCTAAGTTCTAATCTAGTATCTAGTGTTCAATATAGCGCTGGCCAAACACTGACGCAACTATTGTGAAGTGTTTAGTCACTTTTTAACTGTTATAGCATTTATGTTATATAACTTACACTTACATATCAATTTACTTATAACAGCATCTCATTTAGAATTTGGAAATAGCCATTGTAAGAAGCTTATAATGTATGATACACTATTCCCTTGTGCAACCATTTCTGAGATGGTTTCAGGTAAATTTATATATGTTATTATTTTATTTACATTAGTCCAAATATTTACTGAGTAATCAATAATTTTTGTTTGGTTTGATAAAGAACTTTTGTTTACTATAAATTACCAAAAATGTTTAATGCCGATATGAATCATATGTTCAAAACATTACATCTCTGATTCATGTATATACATACATATAAAATTATTGTTTTAAATACTGACATTTTATTTATTATTTATTATTAACTATTATTTTATATGAAAAAATATAAAAAAAGTTATACAAATAGTATTACTAATGGTTACAATTTATTGATGATGATAAAATTTAAATTGCAACTAAATCAATTTTATTGTTTTATTTTATAATTTCAAACAATTTGTAATAGGTACATAAAACAATTCTACTGAAGTATATTTTGAATTATATAAATTCAGTTTTTTATACCTTATAATTATCATTACAATAATAAATTACCTACTAAATTATATTTAATTGAATCTATATTTTATGTATATATAACAACATAGTTTGAAGATTTAAAAATTAAAATATTTAGTATTTCATTGTAGTGTAAATGTTTGGATATGAATTGTTATATAAATGTTAGTGGAGGAAATGTACCAATAAAAAGTTGATTATTTATTAATATAAAAATAAATAAATTCAAACAAAAATGTGAAATTTAAGTTTAAATTTAAATAAAAGTTAATTTAAAGATAATTAGCTTGTGTCTAAGAAAATTAGTTAATAGTTTTTCAAATTTAATATGTTTTAAGAATTAGTCAAATTATTCTAAATCTAAATTATTAAGTAAACCATAAGAAAGATTCAAATGTTTAATTTTAATTTAAAAATGGTATTATATTTAGTTAATATTTTTATTTAAACCTTAACAATATTAATTATCTAATTGCCTAGTCTTACATTTTTTTTTTTTTTTGTAATCTAATTAATAAAACATAGTTTATTATAAATCAGTAAATCAATTTATTAAACAATTTTAAATCCATATTTATAAAAAATGATTATCTTTCTTTTCTATGATTTGTTGTTTTGTTTGAAGTTTTATGTTTTTATTTATGGAATTAAACAAGATAATTTTTTGTATCAACTATTTGTTTTTGAGTTATCTTATTAAAATTAGGTTTAAGTTGAACAGTAGTTTTTCATATTAATCAATATTTTGGTAATTTTCTCTTTAATAATAAAAAAAAGAGCATAATTTGATTATAAAAATTACTTTTCTTATATAATGTATTTGGATGTTAGGTTTTTTTTATTTTATATAAAGTGAACATATTAGTAGATAACTAAGGTCCAATATTTCATATATGACTAAAGTTATAGTTTTACTAAACTTAAGTGTAGTTTAATTTGTATTCCATATATCAATTAGTTTAAGTGTTACCCTTAACAAAGCTATACTTTTTCAATTTTCTTCCATGATTTTACATTGATGTTTCAAAAATAAATATTATCAAAATAGATTTTTTGGTTAATTATCATTGATTTATTATTTTAATTATTAAAAGTAATTACTAAACGTGTCTGATCTGTTGTTAATAACATCATTTGCTCAGGAGTAATGGCATGATTTCTAAAAATTAAAAATATTTTTTGTAAGATATATCTAAATAAATTTTCCTTTGTATTAAGTTTTTAATTTCGTTTAATTTTAGTATACCTGTTGGTAGGATATTGAATTTTATCCAAAATTAATGTTAATATTACATTCAAAACATGTTTTGATAGACGAAATTGATTATAAAATTCAATCTCATACCAAATACTGTAATGATCTAATCGATTTCTATAAATTCGTTTTTTTCTTGGGTGATTCAATCGTTCAATAATATTAACAATGTCTTCATTGTCACTTGACAGTGATGAATCCGATATGTAAAGTATAATTTCATTCATTTTGAAAATTAAAACATACAATTACAACACAATTTAATTAATTTAACTTGTATAGCTACAAAATATAGATTTGAAATAATTTTTACTTATAAAATCACACAACACAATGATTAACATTGAGTAAATAAAACATAAATGACAGATAAACTTCACATTAGGTATGGTTTAGTTTAAGTAAAGTGTTAAAAATATAATGAAATTCGAATATATTAATTTAAGCTTAGCTTATGGTTAAGTTATAGCTTAAGTCGAATATGAAATACCGGCCATAAGAAATCTAATCTGTCTTACACTTAGGTAGTAAGGTAAAAATACTCACCATACTTCATTATGGTTATATGGATAACCTTGAAGTACCATAACTTTTTACATAGATTATCTAGGACAATATTATCAATGTATTTTTAGAAGCTTTTTTAAATGTTTTGATGTTTAAAGAAGTTATACATCAGTGAAAACTCATGTATATTGTAAAGTGTATTAAAAAATTTTAATTTAATATTGTTCTATACAATTTATGTATTAACTTAAGTGTTAACAGTATAGTCACAATGTGTGAATGAGTATTAAGCATAGTATTTTCACTATATTATGTGTGTTTAAAACGAGATGACTGCTTCACTGTTGCTCCTCAATGTAATTTTTCACATAGTGTATCATACTTATAAGTTATTGATGTCGAACATAATATACTTACTTAATAAATTTCAGTTTAACAATATGTTTAACTTAAATTATTTCTTTATAATATTGATCTTTAATCTTTGATTTAAGTTATCTATGTTACTATACAAAAAAGTGATACGAGTTGTAAAAACATTGATTCTAATATTCATCCCATCTAATGCTGTAGTTATCAAAATGTAGATAGGCAAGGCCACATGGAAATACTTTTCAGAGATTATTTTGTCTGCCAATGCGTTTTATGTTTATCTTTGTCTTAACATCTCCCAAACTTTATACTTATTGGGTTGATTTATGATTGATATTAAAAATGAAAAGGATAAAGGTACTTTGTGTGTAAATATAATGTGAAAATATAAATAAATCAATAATGTGACGAAAACTTAAGTTGTACTAACTAATGTACTCTAACGTACATCTACTATTATAACTGTTACTACTAATACTACAATTATTGTTACTATACTATTACTATTTCTATATTACTAAAATGACTAACTCCCAACATTAATGATGTTTGATTATTGCCAACTAGGAAGCATAGCACGTGATCAGTGCGTGAACCACTATTCCAGTGGTTCACCTTGCTCGTATGAATATGCGTATAATAATATGTATGTCTATATGTATATATATATATATATATATATTATTCTTATATTAATAATGTGCTAATAATATGCTCAAAATAAAGAAAAAATTAAAACGTTAACTGGCATGCGCACTCGCGCAATCGCGTAAACATGTTGTGTTAGGAGTAAAAGAATAATAATAATAATAATTATGGTAAAAAAAAAAAAAATCGCAAATCGAGGAGAAGGGAGATTTGTTGTTCGGGAGTCTTTATGTGTGATAGACGAAGCAGAGCGGTGGCGTGTCCCGCAGCAGTGTTCAACTAACTTCTCACGCGGTGCAACCAACCAGTTGTTCGTTGAAAGTTTACGCACGTTGTTTAATAGATGTATTTTCGTTCACATGGTAGGTCGTGGCACATCACATAGTTGTGTGATTATGAAGTTCATCTATCATTACACCTGGAGCAGGCAAATTATATTCAACTCGCAAAAATTGGTAAAAAGAAGGTGAACGGTATAAAGGCAAAAAAAAATTTTGCGTGCCTTCCTAAGTGAAACCAAATATCAAAGTCTATTACTACTATTTGTTTTATTTTAACTTTGTTATTATTTTAAATATATCTATATATCATTGCTATATTAGCATCTTGTATTATCGTATAGATATAGTAGTTATTTTGTTTAATTTTTTTTCTTGTTTGTTTTCATTATTATTTTATATTCAAAAATATATATATTATTTTACACCGTAGTCAAATTTTCACTGTAAATTAATTTACCGATACATACTTGCATACATTTCATAATAGATATTTGGTTTCGTGTCGAAACACGCCAAGGCTGATGTTAACTCAGCACATGGCTACCGGAATGATTTCATCTTTTTGGTGCTCCTCTGGTATGTTGAAAGATAATATTATTTTTATTATCATCTAAGAATTAACAAATATAATATACTATTGTACTCGATATTGATTTTAATCACATGTTTCGAGCGAAAAATTTCCTTTATAATGTGTGTTTGTAATTGAAAATGTTGCTAGGTTGGATTCAATATTAATCTAGAAATATAATACATTTGTTGATGTATAAATTACTAATTGAAGAGCATACTACACATTTAATTATTATTAGCTGTAATTATATAATTTTTCTCTGATGAAAATATTGCTTTATCTCCATTCAAACGCACGAATAAGTTGTGATACATTTGTCTTGTTCTAACTCTGGATTTTTTTTCTTATTAGTGAGAATATTTAAGTTTTAATCTTTAAAAAAAATGTTCAAACGATTTCTTATTTTTTCATATTTTAGTTTTAAATTAAATTCCATGTACAATATACGTGTGTAATGGTTTTATTAAAACTTGAAAAAAAATGGACACTAAACATTACAATTGATTGTTTAACATTCAACTATCTAGTTTGTATTCATTTTCTCAAAAGGTATTATAAAATTCTAATTTATTAATTTTTATAATTACATATATTATTTAATTTTTATAATTTTGAGTGAAATACAAGTATAATTATTATACTATATTATTATATTATAATATTCGAAAAAATAAAATTTATTAATTTAATTCCAGCTTTTTTACAAAACATCTGTACAAATTTAATCGTATGAACATGCGACATGGGTTCGATTAAAACATTTTGAGCATATAATATATAATTGCTATCATTAAGTTTTCTATGACCCAATTTTAATAGATATTAACATTTATCTAGGTCAAAGGGTGTTATTGTAAAAATAATATCAGACTAGAGAGATCTCGTCATAGTCGCTATACGTTACATGCTACTAACCTCGTATTTTTTAGTATAATATTATAGTATTCCATGCGGGCGATTATCGATGTATATTACATGCGTTATTTTGGTTTTTGGTTGATTAAAAATAAGATACAATATAATATAACGTTTTGTGTTTATGAATTAGAGATGTTGATAACAATGTTTCGGGGATAGAGGTAAGACGAGGACAGTGTCATAACTTAGTTTTTAATTTTATCAGAAAAATGGTTGTGCCTTATTTTGTATTTCAAAAATGATAATGTTGATTCGATTTATATGTATTGTCCTCCATTTCATAGTTACACCACCTAATTGGATACAATAGACTGTTGATTGTTGTAATTTTTATTGTTTCATTAAAGAATATACATTTTTCTTACAAACTTGTCTAGCATATAAAATCTGATAATATTTATTTTATTAATTATTTTCTCAGTAGTTGCTAATTTTATTATACTTTATACATCCCATTTCTGAAAACATGATAATTCTCAAATTAAATAGTCTATTCTTTCAAACGAAGTAAACTAATAACTATTTCAGAAAATTATTTAATTTAAAATGTTTTTTGTTTAACACATTTACAGTTAGTTATTATTTTTCTATTAAAATATTTGCAATACATTAATCGCTCAAGCCCAAGGTTTACTGTTTATCACTATTTTTCAATCTAAAAATCAATTGTTCTATACATCAACATAATTACAGTTAAATTATTTTATTCGGGCTATATGTATCTTGGAATTTGGATAACTTAAAATAACTTATTCTTATATTTTGTGCAAGCATGATAATTAATTAACGACGTTTATATTTATTATATAATACTAGATACATATTTTGGTCTATTTATTTGCAAATTTCCTTGACATATTGACTGTGTAGTGATATGAATAATGAAAAATTAAAATCGAATTATATCGTGATAATTTTTCTTTGTTCTTTTTGAAATTCGTTTATTTTTACGGTACGCGAGTACAAACATACACGTACATTATTTTATATCAATAACACTCAGCTACTCCGAGGACTTGTAACAATTAAAATAATTACAGTTTATCACTTTGTGTTGGCCCTTTTCGGTTAATGTTAGGTTGACATCCAGACGATTTGTATTATTATAATAACCACTATTATAAGTCGGCGCAACTATTTAGATAAGCAGTTGATTTTATGATTTATCCATTTGGTCTATTTGGGTCACCAATGTACTTCATATAAGGTCAATATTTATCTTTGAATAATTTACTGGTGCACAGTTGAGTATAATATATATATATATATATATCACTGTAATAGTTACAATAGATGGATACTTAAGTATTATACTCGGAATTTATATGAATCCCAATCACGATCATAACAATCATGCCAAAAAAAAAAAAAACTATTTTTATACTTCCATTATTATTTGCTTCATTTGATAATTAAATCAACTTTGCTACAGTGTAAAGTGTAAACATTATTACACATAGCTAAATACAATAAAATAATTAAAACATTAATATGTTCTGTTGGTAAAATCAACAATGGGCCTTTGAAAATTTAAATAATTGTCATTCTCATATATTTTAGTATATTTTACTGTATGGTTTATAAAAATGTGATCAGTTAACCAAAATTTAAATTAAAAAAATTTGTGTATTTTTCAGAATCTGAAACTATTACAGATTGGTTAAATGAAGAAAAATTCATTGACCTTCCAATATTTGATGACTTCATGACAAACACTTCTCCAAATCACGTTGAAATGAAACCAATTGAATATCAGAAATTTGTTCCATCAAACAAAGCTATCCAATACCAACCATACCCAACCCAACAATATGCACCTATATATTGCCAACAGACACCTGTTCAGCAAAAATTCAGCTATGTTCCACCTGCTTCATTAACACCCCCAGAAAGTCCTAAAGATACAGATGTTCTAATGTCTATGTTGGATGATATGCAACCGGAAGAACTCAGTCAGTTGGTAGTTGATGAAGATACTTTATCAGACTTTATGTCATCAGATGCTAGCAGCCACACCGACTCTTACAGTGAAATACCATTAAAACGGGCTAAACCTTATACACCAAAGGCACCAAGTGAAGAAAAGCGATTGCGTAAAAAAGAACAAAATAAAAATGCAGCCACACGATACAGGATGAAGAAGAAGGCTGAAGTTAAGGAATCCGTAATGGAAGAGAAACAACTTTTGCAGAAAAATAATACACTCAAGGATGAAGCTAAAGAACTTGCAAGAGAAATTAAGTATTTAAAATCACTGTTGAGGGATGTTTACAAAGCTAAAGGACTATTGAATTAAATTACTTTTAATTATTTATGATCTGATTATTCACTTTAAGTGGTTTTGTTTGATTAATGTTTAAAAATAGTGCTAGGCATGATGATCAAATATAATTTTCACGTGAATGCTGTTTTTTATGTACCTGTTTTTATGTTTTAAGTACAAGTACAGTATTAGAATTTTGAATACATACTTCTATAACCAAAACAGCCATTATCTCCTTGTAAATATATTCATATTCCTTTTTCTACTAGTTTATTTTTAAAGATTTTGTATTAATAAGTACCTTTTAGAATTAACCAAGCTAGTATGTATAATTATCAAGCATATAATATTTGATCTTATGTTAAACTAAAGACATATTATTATTATAGTATTTGTAAAAAAATATTGTTTTGTTTATATTTTTTTCCAAACAATGTGAAACATTTTTAATAACATAGCTTCACATATAATTTTGTATTACATCTGAAATCTTGCAAGTTCTATACGCTTGATTATTATACGCGTTTCTTGGTTAAATTTATTTTAAAAGCATGAAAACAACAGAGTAGAGATTTAGTTTAATTATTATTAAATTCAGACAATTCTAAAACAAAATCAAATATTTGTATTTTTAAGCAGTTGGTACTTCTCTATTTAAATTAAATGTAATCTTTTTAGAATGTTGAAATTTGTGAGTGCTTAAAACGTATTTGTTGATAGTTACAATGAAATTATGATATATTTTTTTTTAGATTATTCTTATAATCTTTATGCATAGTTATTATTGAATATTGATTTCATTATATTTTTTAAATGCTATTACTGTTTCAACTTGAAATATATTCATCTCATAATTATGGGTTATAAAAAGTGAAACTACAATATGGTGTTGGAATTTTTATTTTTATTTGTAACAAATAAAATATAATGAATGCAGTTTATTAATAAGATAACTTTATATGTATTTTGAAAAAATATGAAAAAATAATGTGATTGTTTGCAAAGCAAATATATCTGACAAAATGTAATCAATTTGATTGATTTTTTATGTAGGTAGTTTTTAAAAATATTAATTTATGTATAATTTTTTATGGTATATTACTTTTACATTATTATATTCTATCGCCATTATATCTTACACAGAATTATTAATATACTTTACATGTATGTAAATTAACCTAATACTTGATTAAATTCATTGTTTTAGAAGAAAATAAATGTTATATTTCATTATATTATATACTTATAATTTACACATTTATTATTGATTAAATTATCTTTATTTTCATGAAAACAATCTATGAGCAGCATAATACCTTGGTTCTGGCACTGTATTTTGATTGAAAATCATGTTAAATTACCCATACAAATTATGATGGTTTGATGGTAAACAAATTTAATTTTATTCAAAATAAGTTGAGAGGGTTTCATTGAAAACTGATATTTTTTTTATTTTTATTAATTGTTTCTATTAATAGTATAATTTTTAAGTAATGCATTAAGGGCAAGCATGGATCTAGAAATGAAAAAAGGGAGGGTGATAAAGTGAGTGACTGCCATAATTTTTTGCACATATCGATTTGTACAAAGTCTTTCTTACGTCTAATTTTTTAAATATTTTAAGTACCTAAGTTCGATATGGTTCTACTTAATGTGTAAGGAGGGGGGGGGGGCTCAGCTCCCATAGTCTCCCTTGTTTCCGCGCCTGATTAAGAGTAAAATAATGAAAACTTATTACTTTATATAAGGTGACAAATATTTATTCGTTGATATTTCTCTGCAGGTTGAAGACGACTAAATAATACATACATAAAGACTATGGTAATGAATTTACATAAAATATTGGTAAACATCGAAGGATTTATAACATTGATTGTTTTTTATGGTTGGTGTACAGTTTATTAATTTAAGCTTATGCCGATTGTCATTTACTATCTAAGATCGAAGTGTATAATTAGTAAGAAATAACTAAAATGTTTAGTAAAATGATGCGCGATTTCTACCGTACCTAGCAATATACAAATACACGAAATGCATAGAAAATTGACTTAATAAATATAATAATTTATTTATTTTAAACGTGAAATTTGAATTGCAAACGTTATGATGGTCCGTGAACGAACGAATAATCGAGCAGGAAATACATTTTGGAAAATAATATTTGCGTCTAACTATATGCAATGATTTTTCAGTGTCCTTATAGCGAATGTATGGTGATTTTAAACTACAATATTACGACACAAAGATCTTTTAAGGCGGTGAGGAGAGTTGCCAGGGTTTGGGTGTGGAAGAAATTTGGAGTGGAATTTTTTATAGTGGATTGTAACTAAATTAACAACTGGTTCAATATTTAAGTCTTTGTGAAGGGTGAGAATAGAAACATACCATGGGGTGGACGTGATTATACGAAGGGAGATCGATTGAAAGGCTTTGATTGTTTGCAGTTTCGTTGGTTTAGTACTACCCCATATTTGAGTACCATACGACCAAATTGGTCAAAGCATTGACTTATAGATAAGTATTTTTGTTACGAATTAGAAGTTCAGATTTTAGTTCAGGGCAATTTTTTTTATTTTTATTTTTTATATATACACCTGAAAGTATTTATTAATGTCAAACTACATATTATAACTATCATTAAGTATAGATAACAACATCGTTAGTAAAACTTTTATACTAAAATAAAATAAAAAGTACAAGGCGTAATAAATGGGATCTAATGTTTAATGACCTAGTTTTATTGATTTATACAACAAAATCTCTACAATATTCTCAGCAAAGGGGTCTATTATTTTTTCTACATTTAATGCAATTCGCCTGTGAATATATAAAAGCACCAAAACCTGTTAATCTACTTTGGCCTATTTCACTTAATATCCAAGGATAATTCTACGATTTTATTGTATATATATATATATTCTACGACCACAAATATTTATGATAAAAAGATATCCGGATCAGACGCCATTGATGGAAAAAAAAATCAAGTAATTTAAAATAAATTATAAAATTGATCAATTACTATGCAATAGGGTGGACCTTAGCTATAGATGAAGAAATTTTTTTTTCTGATATTTTTGATTTCTTACCCCCTCATTTTGTTCATAACTATAAAAAAGTAATTCGGGTTAAATTTAGTCATGATTACTCAGCCCTTTCACGTGTCCCAAGAGGGTTGAATATTAGTGAAAAAGGGTTGTTTTGTAATTTTTTGACTATATTCAAAAAAATATTGCATTTATCTTAAAAATGTAAAAAACATATATTATATATTTATATTTATAATAAAAAACATATTCATACAATTTCTCATAAATTTATTATTTCCCCAAGAAAAATGATAAAATATCAAATATTTTATTTATTAAAAAAAAAGATTTTTTACAGTTATTTAAATATATTAAAATAATGGTTAATGATACGACAAAATATCTTATATACAATTAATAAATAATTTGATTTCCTAAAAAAAAGTTAATTAGGATAAATTTCATTGGATTGATTGTTTTATTGTAACAGTCAGGTTAACGTAAAAAATTTAATGTATCTAAATGTTATTATGTTAATTCAAGAGTTTCATTAATAATACATGTTTTAATATAATACAGTTTATATAATGTCTTATAAATCTATTATTATTATTATATATTATTTATTATTTCATAAGAAAAAATATATGATAGCAATTATTATTATAATTTTTTTTAATTTTTTTTTTCATAGTTGATTTCTTTCAGTTATTTTAAAGATCTTGGACAAGGTGGTTTTTTACAATCCGAGAATCACCGATGATACTCGCTCACTACTTGCAGTAAATATTGCTTCTGGTCTTCGTTCTTAGTTATTAACTTGCTATAATCTTTAATTAATTTAATTCTTCGTTCCGCAATATCATTAACTACAGTAAAGTTATTTACTAATTCTTTTCCTTTTAGTTATTGATCATTTTCGTTCCACAATTTCGGATATAAAACTAAAAAGTCCAACATCATACCGAATCTATTAAAAAAAATTCCTAGACTGGACTGATATAAAATTATCGATATCTTTATTAGCATAATCGTATATTTTATTTGATTATAAAACTATTCGTTTCTTGTATTCTGATTTGACATTAAAAGTCTTCATTGCTTTAACCATTTTTGCCTTTTTTTTTCAATGATACATTTTCATCAAAAAATGCTAATGATGTTACTTCTGGTGTTAAGTCTTACAAACAGTGGCGTATCCAGAATTTTTTTTTTTGTGGGGGGGGGGGTATAAAAAATGTAACATTAAAATTTTTTGGATTTTGTGTGTTTCTATTATAATCAATAGACAATATACACTGAACATTTTTTTGGGGAGGGGGATGATTTATAACCCTCCACCCCCGCATACGCCACTGATCACAAATGACTACACATTTTTTTTAATGTTCATTTTGAAATTTGTATATCAATGACCTCGTACAATATTAGCTCTTTAATAAATTGTAAGTCCATGTTTGGTGCCAGAGCAACAGCTGGAGCACAAAACCATTATTTAACATATATCCGAACTATAAAAATACACAAGTCGCGGAAAGCATTATGTTAATTTAATGTTAATTTAAATTCGTTTCGAAATAAAAATATTTTCAGAGTATATGAAGCTTTTGCCATCTAACGAGCAAGATGTACGGATACTGTAACATATTATCCGATTCCAATACAATTATTAGGTACAAAATATTATCTACCCATATTCAATGTATTATTATCTTAAAACATGTATTATTAATGAAACTCTTGAATTAACATGATAACATTTTAGATACATTAAATTTTTTTACGTTAACCTGACTGTTACAATAAAACAGTCAATCCAATGAAATTTATCCTAATTAACTTTTTTTTAGGAAATCAAATTCTTTATCAATTGTATATAAGATATTTTGTCGTATCATTAACCATTATTTTAATATATTTAAATAAATGTAAAAAATCGTTTTTTTTTAAATAAATAAAATATTCGATATTTTATCATTTTTCTTAGGAAATAACTACTTACATCCTTTGATCAATTTTGAAATAAATAATGCATACATTTACTTAGAAAAAAATGAACTTCAAAACACATTATAATTTTATACAATTGTTTTCAAACAAATATAATATTCAACGAAGGGAAAAAGCTAAAGAAAAATAACGAACACTTCTTGAAATATGTCTTTTGAAAATTGTAAATAGGTACACAAAAAT